AGTGGCGCTGTGGGCCACAGCGACACTAGTGTCGCTGTAGGCCACAGCGCCACTTACATAAATAATTAAATCTATTTTTTAAAATTACCTTTTTAAATAAATATTTTTTATTTTTATAAATATATAATAAGTATACTCAGTTGATTATTTTAAGATTACATTTAAATTATTTCAGTTTTTTTCATTTTTTTTCTTAAGTGGTGTCGCTATGGGCTACACCACCTTTGTTGGCTCACATACTGTGTTGGTCCAGCCCATAGCGACACTGTTGTGGCTCATTCCAGCCATCCCTACGCCAAAAAAAAAAAGCCATGTGGCATGGGTGTCGCTATGGCCCATAGCGACACCGTTGTAAACAGCCCCAAAGGCGTAAATAAGTTCAAAACAGCCCCATTTAGGTAAATAACTTGATCAACGACCCCACTTTGGTCAAAAAGCCTATATATATAGTTGAATGCAAAGTCATTTGACTCAATTCGTTGACTTGTGTCATCTAGCTACTTTCCTCTGTCACCAATGTGTCCTAAACGCAACCCAAACAATATCCTTAAAGTGCTCCTCTTCCAAAGTGGCTATGTGTATAAGGACTTGAATATCGTCAATTATACTTCCAAGCCTAACCAGCTGCAAAGCTTCTTCATGGCGAGTATTTTGAGTGAAGAACTGAATGGTAACCAAACTCTCTATACTCTTGCTCTACGCCAGATCTACTAAACGAGGATTAGCGTAGCTGTCTAGAGATCTGTTTACTTCAAGAGTAAGTCTAATAAGTTTATTAAGACTTATTCCGCTTATATTAATAACTCATATTTTATATCAAATTTCAATGAGCCAAATGTTGAATTTAAAATTTTTAACGCAAAAATTAAGTTTGCAAATTTTTAAAAAATTTAAAAATTATTTGATACTTCATTTCAATAATTCAAATTGACAAATAATCATAAAATTCTTTTATACATTAATTTAAATTAATAAATTGAAGTATCAAATGATCTATGCATTAATTTAGTAAAATAATATTTTTAAATAATTTATAAATAATATTTATAAATAATTTAGTAATGTGAGACCCCTTCCCGTTCATTTTCTCTCCAACCCGTACCCTTGACTTTCACTCTTGAACTCTCTTCTTCACTCTCTTTACCTTTGGTCTCTTTTTCTCTGGAAACTTTAGGTGGTAGTGCTGAGTAGGTGCTGATTTGTGGTGTGCGAAACTAGCTGAAGTTCTTTCCCTGTCTCTCTTTTCTTCCGTTCGTTCTTCTTCCATTCCTTTCTTCTCGGAGCTCGGAATTCTTCACCGAGATAAGGGAAGCTAGGTTTTTGGCTGAAATGGTTGAAAATGAGTTCATAAACTCATTGTGTGGTTGATTTTCTGATGATTGATGAGCTGTTTTGATGAAAATGGGTTTTCGGGTTTTCGGGGTTCTTGATGAAAATTTGGGGATTATCTTTGTTTGATGTTGCATGTGTAAAAAAGGGATGATTTTTGAGCTGTTGGTTGAAAATGTGAAGTTTTGGATGGATTGCATGTATGTGGATGGCTTGATTTTGCAGGTTTTGAAGGAAAATTTTGAACTTGGAGAGTTGTTGCTTGGTATCAAGCCGGACACAGTTCTTGGCGCCGAGCGCGTGACCATCAAAGGACTCTATTGGGCAAGTCCGCCAGGCGCAAGGTTGTTTGGGCCGGGCGAGCTTGAGAATAGGGGCCTCTAGATGGCCCATGTCGGGCGTGGTTGGATCGAACTGGGCGCGATATCAGTAATAACTTAGCATTTTGGGTTTCTGGTGTGGTGCCGGGCGTGACTACGTCTCGCCAAGCGTGGAGACTCCTTGGGAGTCCTTGCCACGGGTGACACCGGGCGCAATTGGTATTGCACTGGGCGTGAGACCTTGGGGAGGTCTCTGCCTACCCTACGCCGAGCGCGGGTTTGGCACGCCGGGCGTGTGAGGCTCTTTGGAGTCTCTGCCTCCTAGCACGCCAGGCGCAATTGAAATTGTGTCGGGCGCATTTTATCCTTGGTGCTCTTTAGTCGAGTCACGCCGGGCGCGACCATGAGTGCGTCGGGCGCGGGTGTGATCTTTACTTATATGTTGATAAATGCTTAGAATTGCTGATATATCTGATGTTTGCTGAGCTGAGCTGTAATTGATGAATATTGTCGAGCTGAGTGATGATATTGTTGTGCTGTGAGATGTTTATGGTGAATGATGTTGTTTAAGCTGTGTTGTATAAAGTTGAATCGTGTTGTATGTTGTATGTTGTATGTTGTTATTGCTGTTATGTTGTGTTGTGCTGCATGCTGATATGAACTGTTGTAGGTCGTAAGGCTGAGCTATTGTAGGAGATCTCCGAGCTGGTATGTGTGACGATGCATTGTTTGTTTACTGCTGTTATTGCTGAATGATTTGAGATGTATGTTGTGATGTATTGTATGTTGATGTTGCTGAACTAGATGATATGCTGATAGCTGTAGTTGATTATAATTCTTGTAATTATATGTATATATGTTGATTCTTTTCACTAGCTTACCCTTTGTTGTTTCCATGTGGTTTGTACTGCAATGATCATACTATGTATGGGAGCAGAGCAAGGATAAGCTGGTGTGTAGAGATAGGTCTGTAGCTGACAGATGTAGTGGATGTTTTTGATATTTTATTGTTTTAGCTACTTAGTGTAACAATTGGGTTGTATTTTGTATATTGATTCTAAGCCCCAGGCTAGACATATTGTATATATTTTATTTGGTTATATGTATATTCTTGTCTGTGTGGTGCCGTGGTGTTTTAATGTGTGACGGTCAGGCAAGTCGTTATAAGTAAAATAATACTTTTCAATTAAAGGACTTTTAATTATTAAACTTAGAAATTTAAATATTTTTTTATTTTTTGTACGATTAAAATTGACAAGGAAATCCGCAGGAAAAGTACCTGCAATTTTTTTTTACCATTTAGTAAAGATTATTTGCAAATTAATTTTTACAAGAAAATTTACACAAGAAATAAAATAAAATTCTTACAACGTTTTTTGCAAATTTTTACCATGAAATTTTTTTTTATGATTATTAAAATTGTAGTAAAATTTACAAAAATTTCTTATAGATCATTTTTCATAAAAAAATTTGTAAGAAATATTTGTAAATTATTTTTCGCAAATAAATTCATAAAATAATTTTGTGAAATTATTATTGCAAGAAAATTCGTAAAAAATTTCTGTGGTATTACCAATCTCCCTTATCCGATGTCACAGTTCAGCATTTCATATATTTACTTTAATTTGACTAGGCGGTCACCTCAGTCAAAATTGTCTAATAAACTCGATTGAGCTCGGCCTTAATCGAGGTTGGTACAAAAGTCATCATATTTTTTGACTTATTTCTTTGCCTTAAGATAATGATATCCTATCATGCCCATATATAAATTAAAATTACCAATAAGGTCGAACATAATTATCAGGTAATTGAATTTCTTAAACATAATGATCAGAGTTTATTTTTTTTAATAGGCAAAGTCCACATCAGTATTTATATGCTTCACAAAGAATTAGTTAGTTTACTACTATCATTATAAACGATGTTCAAAAAGTCTTACTTGGTATTGTTTTTTCACGTGGCATGACTTCATTAGTTGTATGGACAAAAGGCACCCAAACCCAGAAGGTGCATGGAAGGAATTAATTAATATCCTTATAAAAATATACATCAATTTTCGACGTTATAAGAAAGGAAAAAAACCCACGGGTAAATTTTACCACAAGAGGGAAGTCAAACCAAACAGTTACAAAAGGCGAAAAGAAAGAAAGAAGATCGAATGAGAAATGAGAAAGCTGAGAAATCAATATCTTGTGGTTTAACAAGCATAAGAAAGGAAAGGAAGCATTTTATGATTGATATATATTCTGACACAATAGAAGAAGAAGAGAAAAGAGGGAAAGACAATTCTAGTGATGCAGAAACAAAGCGAGGCGTTTGATCAACTTGATGGCTTTCTCAGATTGAGGATGAAAGATATGATAAACATGATCCTCAGCGGTCTCCTCAAACAATTCGAGTTCCCCTTGCCAGCCACTCTTGTTGACAGCCTCGTAGTACCAAACCCCTCTATCCCTCAACTTATCGATCCCAGCCACACACACAATAATCTTGGAACACCCAAGTTTATCCAAGCTAGGAGCCCCAGGAGCGAGGGGGTTTACCATGGGGTTATCAATGCCACCAGGCGCAGAAGGGTACACGAAATTCCAAACCACGTAGGGTAAACTCTGCTCATGCCCTGTGCCAGATTCCGACCCAATCGGATACGAACTGCAGAAGTAAGGGTGGGAGAAGATAGCTCCAACTAGTTTAACTCCACAAGGTAAAGCCTCGCTCCCACCACGCATTGCAACGTTGTGAACAATGTTGCCACCTGCGCTGTCACCCCCGATGAAGATTCTGTTGAAATCGCCGTGAATGAGCCAGGGCTCTGCGTTGTTTGAAGATTGGGAGGCGACCCACGAGAGAGCGTCCCAACAATCGTGGTAGCAGGCGGGGAGAGGGTGCTCCGGGGCGAGCCTGTACTCCACGGAAACTACGATGCAGTTGGTTAGGGAAACGAAGGTGTTGAAGTGGTGGTGGTAGAGTTGGGAGAAAGCGGATTCGAAGAAGAAGCCGCCACCGTGGAAGTAGACCAAGATTGGAACTTTGTGGTGTTGGCCCTCGAGTTCTGGAAGGTAGAGGCGAGCGGAGATTGTGGGGTTGTGTGAGATGATAACGTCTTTGGAGGAGACTTTTGTTTGAGGGTCGGGGTTTGAGGGTGGCACCAAGGGTGCTTGTCTTGGGCGTTCCACGGTGCCGTCGCTCAAAACTTTGATATAGGTTGGTATCTCTGCCACTGTCACTACTGCCACCTTCTCTTCTGTGTCGGCAGAAGCCATTTCAACTAAGACAAGGCAATTGTGGCGGAATCGGATAAGTGCTTTCAAAATAATATATAATTCATCTTACAATAATACATGTATAATATAAATATATAGCACATCAGGGACAGATATGATACTTTTACTGTCCAGAACAATGGCAAATGACATATGCAATGACGCCATTTAAATGAATAAAACACGCATTTGGAAAATTCCGATCTCATATGATCACATCCATGGATTTAGGAGCGTGTAAAAAATTCAAATTGATCTGAACCGATTCATAATCGGTCTGATTTATATTAAAAAATTTGATTTATTTTGAAAATTTTTTTGAACCGAACCACTTTATAAAACCGGTTCAGTTATCCGATCCATTTTTACAAAGTGAATCGGTTCGGTATGGTTTGATTTAAAAAAAAAACCGATCCATATATGAGTAAAAAGTAGATAACTGCACCGCATCGAACTGACCAATTTCAAAAAAATCGATCCATATTTTAAAAAAACCAAATCAATCCACTTTATAAAAAATGGATCGGTTAACCGATCCACTTTTATAAAACGGTTCGGTTGGTTTGGATCGGTTTTTTCAAAAAAACGATCTATGAACACCCCTAGATGGATTCATAATTGATCGGATTCGAAAAATCTTATCCGTTTTAAAAATAAAAAAATTCAAACTCATCTACTTTATAAAATTTTTTTATTCTTATATAAAATAAATTAATTGAATTTAACTCAATTTTTTAAAAAGAATTTATAAATAAATACATAAAAATAATCATATTAAAAAATTAATTTATATTTTTAAAAATTAAATTAATATATTTTATAAAAAATGAATCAATTAATCAATCTACTTTTATAAAATGAATTGGTTTAGTTCAATTTGAATTTTTTAAAATTTGATCCATAAATACCATTACATATAACATAGCCTGATAATTTTTTTTAATTAATATTTAATATATAAAAATTGAATATTTTTAAAAATGGTTTTGAAAGGAAAAAAAATGGTTAATTTTACTTGTATATTACGTTTTCTTTGTATATACTATAACCTGTAATTGTATGGTTTTTAAAAGTCCGTGAAGCCTGTTCCGCTTGTTTCATTCATATTATTGTCGGTTTTTTGATTAAAGTGGGGTCGTTGATCAACTTATTTACGTAAATGGGGTTCTTTTGAAAGTATTTACGTCTTTGGGGCTGTTTACAACGGTGTCGCTATGACCCATAGCGACACCCATGCCACGTGGAAATTTTTTTTTTTTTGTCCACAATGGGCTGGACTGAGCCACATCAGTGTCGCTATGGGCTGGGCCACCACAGTTGATGGACCAACAGAAATGATGTAGCCCATAGCGACACCATGTAAGAAAAACAAAGAAAAAAACAAATAATTTATATGTAACTTAAAAATAATAAATTGAGTTATTTATTATATATTTATAAAAATAAAAATAAGTTGTTTAAAAACGTAATTTTAAAATATGTATTTTAATTATTTATAAGAGTGGCGCTATGGCCTATAGCGACACAGTGTCGCTATAGGCCATAGCGCCACTAGTTTATTTGTTTTTTTTTTTAATTAATAACTTATTTAGTTTTAAAATTTGTTTATTTTATATTAGCAGTTAAATATTAATTTGTAATTATAAATTTATTTTTTCTCTAATTTCTTTTGTTTTATAAATTTTTTTCCTTTAAATTATTTTATCACGAATTAAAAAATGTATTTAATTATTTATCTGAGTGGCGCTATGGCCTATAGCAACACTGTGTCGCTATAAGCCATAGCGCCACTAATTTATTTGTTTTTTTTTAAATTAATAACTTATTTAGTTTTAAAATTTGTTTATTTTATATTAGCAGTTAAATATTAATTTGTAATTATAAACTTATTTTTTCTCTATTTTTTTTGTTTTCTATATAAATTTTTTTCCTTTAAATTATTTTATCACGAATTAAAAAATGTATTTAATTATTTATCTGAGTGGCGCTATGGCCTATAGCGACACTGTGTCGTTATGGCCCATAACGACAATATTAATATATATACCCCTCCTAGCTACGGTTTTTTCGCAGTGGAAATCATAACCCATAGCGCCACTTATTTTTTTGTTTTTTTTTAATTATTAACTTAATTTGTTTTAAATTTTATTTATTTTTTATTAGCAAATAAATATTATTTTCTATTTATAAGCTTATTTTCTCTGTAATTTATTTTCTTTTCTTTATATATATTTAATTATTACGAATTAAATCTATTTATTTATTTTTCACAGTGGCGCTATAGGTCATAGCGCCACTTATTTAACGTTTAATTTTTTTTAAATTATTAACTATATTATTTTTTAATTATTTTATTTTACATTATCATATACATTTTAATTACTATTTTATAATCTTATTTTTTCATTTATTTCTTTATTTAATATATTTTTTACTTTTTTTAAAAAAAAATTTAAAATATAGGGCGCTATGGGCTATAGCGTCTTCATTTAAGCTGTTAGTGTTGCTATGGGCTGCAACAACTTCGTCAATATGGCTTTCATGGTTTCTCTGGAATCACAAAAATGCCACGTGTCACTATGGTCCATAGCGACACTGTTATAAACAGCCCCAAAGGCGTAAATACTTTCAAAAGAACCCCATTTACGTAAAAAACTTTCCAAACAACTCCACTTTGGTCAAAAAACCAGTGAGCTATATCCATTACCTGTTCATGACTTTTAAAAACTTTATGAAGTGTGTCAAACACTTTACAGCTAGAAAGATGAAGACTTTAGATGCAATTTTTATTGGGAATATCTTTTAATTTTTTTATCTTAAAAAAAAACTTTATAGTTGATCAATATCTAATAAGAAAGTCAATGTGTTGATTTTGGCTTGATGGAAAAGGAGGAGTGAAAAAGGAGGGATTTGAAGAGAAAGTGAGTGGAAAGTGTAGAGAAAGTTTGTAAGTGAATTGATTGATGTGATAGATAAAAATAAATTTTTTAATTGATAATTGTGTAAGATTACTATTTTGCCTTTTGGTAAAAAATGTTTTTAATTATTATAATTAAAAGATAAATATATAAATTTTAACTAAAAAAATTATAAAATATTAATTTAAAAATAATTTAATTTAAATATTTGCTTTAAATTTAATGATAGATAAAAATTAAAAATTTAATAGATGAATATATAATTTACACTTTTACCGTTGGATTAAAAATGAGTATAATATTATTTATTGTAAATAATAATAATTACAATAAAATTATATTAATAGGTATAATTTATTAAAAAATAATAAATAATGATAAGAATAATAATAAATATTAGAAAAATGATAAGAATCATAATAAATAATAATGATACTAATTATAATAAATAATAATAATATTAATAAAAATGAAAATAATAATATTTATAATAATAAATAACAATAACAAAATATATTATGATAATTATATTTTGTAAAACAAAATTTGATACTCAGAACGGGCCGTTCTCAAACCAGAATGGGCCGTTCTGGGGTTACAAATTAACCCACAACGTCCATCTATGAAATGACTCGTTCCAAAACTGGAACGGCCCGTTCTGAGTTCGCATTTTGCACATAAAATTCATTTTTGGAACGGTCCGTTCTGGGTTCCACTGGAAGCGAAAATACCCTAGCATAATCGATTATGCTTGGCCTCATAATCGATTATGGCCTTGCATAATCGATTATGCTCAGCCATAATCGATTATGCTCAGCCATAATCGATTATATCTATTATGCAAGGCCATAATCGATGATTATGTGGCCAACCATAATCGATTATGCTTCCTTGGTATAATCGATTATGCATGCATGGGACAGGGACATTTCCGGGTTTTCACAAATCCTACGTGACTTTCTTCTCCTTTCTTCGCTTTTGTGCGAGGATGCGAACCACGCTTCTCCCTCCTTTTTTTCGCCTTTCTGTCGTCGCAAATCACCGGAAACAAACAGCAATTTTCTTCGCTTTTCCTTGCTCGTGAACAGTAAATCCCTGGAAACAAACACTACCTTTATGTCTAAGATGGGACCTGAACTAGTTACTATTGAAATGATGTCTCTTGGCCAAGTAGTAAACCTCACTGATGTGAAAATTTTTCATTTTTTAATGAATTCAAGTATCTCTCCAAAAAAAACAAGTAACAAACTAACTATGTAAAGAAACACAATAAAAAAAATAGAGTCATCAAAATATCAAGGTCCGTAGGCCAACCCGACCCATTTTAAAAATGGGTTGGATCAGGTTAAAATAAATAAAAAATTTATAATAAGTGAATATATTTTTATCTGGCCTACTCGGGTTGAACTTGTGGTGGGCTTGGTAGCCCACCAACCCACTTTTTAAAAAAAAATTTAAAATTTGATTATGATTTATAGTTAACTATATATAATAGAATATTAAAATTTTATCATAATTTTTATTTAATTTTGTATAATGAGTTATAACTTATGATTATTAATAATGTTAATTTTATGATTATTATGTTAATTTATAGTTAATTTTAAATTTTAAATTTTTTTAATATTTTTGATGGGTTGGTGGGCTGGCCCATATAACCCACTAACTTGTGGTAGGCCAACCCGAGCCAAATTTTTTTTTAGAAAATTAAAAGTAAGTCAGACCGGGTTGACCCGTTTTAAAGTGAGTCAAGATGAACCAATTCATATACGTCAGACTACTCGTTTTGACAGCTATAAAAAACACAATTAAAATAATAATCCTTCAAATATAAAATTGGTTATAATTTTAAAATAACCGGTTATATTTCCAAAACAATTTATATAACTAGTTTTAACTAAAATTGGTTGTATAACCGGTTACAGCTAAAATCCGTTTCGAAAATTAAAATGTACTTTTCTATTTAATATGATTTCACAACAAGTTTTTTTTTTATGAAAAAAGGATAATCACATATTATCCTTCATAAGCAAATTTACTACTCACATAGTAATTGAATCTTAAATATGCTACTTAACATTGTAAAGTACTAAAGCCCTAGAGACAAGAAAGTATGCAACATTGTTGTCCTCGCAAAACACACGTGTGTGCGAATCTG